GTATGAATGTATGTATGTATGTATGTATGTATGTATGTATGTATGTATGTATGTATGTATGTATGTATGTATGTATGTATGTATGTATGTATGTATGTATGTATGTATGTATGCATTTATGTATGCATTTATGTATGCATTTATGCATGCATGTATATATATATATATATATATATATATATATATATATATATATATATATATATATATATATATATATATATATATATATATAAGATTGTAAAATAATTCACATTTTAATACGCATTATTAGAAGTCAGTTATCAGAAATGAACTTCTGACTTTAGATATTATTGTACATATACATGAAATGCTTGCCCAATATCAGGCTTTGTAATTGACATTAGATATGCTTGTACATTTAAACGGAATAAATGAACGATAAATTTAAAATAGATACTAAATTGACAATGTATTGGATAAAGTTGACTCTCAAATGCAAGCAGTATACTTTAGCAGATCATTTATGAAGTTTTATGTTGAACCGACTCTACAATATATGTAACTTGCATTGGTTTATGAGCTATATATATACAACTTACATAGGTTTAAGAGCAGAGTGCAGAGAAAATGACTTCGGTGACGTCAGTCATTGAGAAAATCAATATAGTAGTAGCAAAGGCAATGATCTGATACGAGTCACTTCTATGCAAATAAAACGCGTTTGACTTTGATTGATCCATGAGGTTGTTTCCTTAAATTGGTAGATTTGTTAGTTGATTAAAACCTAAATCTCACAGTGATTGTCGTCACCTTTAATTTTTCTGTCACGAAATAAATTTGTTAAAAATGAGGACTAATTTTCCTTTTTATATTTGCTGGTTAAATTTAAGGCTAAATAAGAAGACATATGCTTATGATGATCATCGATATCGATACTCTTAACAGAATAAATAGGTTATAGACAAATGTTGTACTAGATGGATAATAAGATACAGGGAGACAGGTAGATCGGCAGATGGATAAGTAGGAACAGGGGGACGGGTAGACAGACAGATGGGAAGTAAGGGGATACAGGTACACTGACAGATGGCGAAGCAGGTAAGGGGAGACAGGTAGACCGACGAATAGAGAAGTAAGTACGGGACAGATGGAGACGTATGTATATGGAGACAAATAGACCGACAGACACACATATAGGCAGACGCAGACAGAGACATATATCTTCTTAGTTACTTACTCTTTCGCCGCAGTTAAAGCCAACAAGCTTGCAAATATCAAGCAAGCTGTCCGCATTTTACACCTGAAATACAAACTTACATGCTTGAAAACTTCAGACTAGAATGACGGTTGTTGCAACCTATTACATATGTTCATATTCAACTGATAGTTGAAAGTCTTTACAGAGAAGGAGTAAAGAGTAACGAATATATGATGTTGCAACGTCGTTTCAATCCATTTTAGTACCGTCACAATGATTGAAAGGAAATGCGAGGTTTTCATGACAACAACATGCACATAGTCCTATTAAAAGCACTCACATTTAGACCAAACAACTGAAGAGTAGTTAAAATTGCATTTCTTTGTCTATTCTGCAAATATGCACCCGCCCCTCAAAAAAACTAAATGAACCATCAAAATTAAAATAAATAAAAAATTACAAAAAAAAATATATCAATAAATTAAGGAACAAATGAAACAGTAATTACGAAAATAAAAAACACGATTAAATTATTAAAATAACAAAGTATAGAACAAAAACTGCAAAAGTGACTAAAATAAATTGAAAAAACGTATGTATAAAAATATGGAAAAACTAATAATAAATGTTATAGGGAAAAATTAAATATATGACAATAATGATTGTGATACCAAAATAATGTAACTGCAAAAGAGGCGCACATAAATATCGTCGGCAACAGTGTCACTAGTTCTTGTTTTTATGCTGTATTTGAATTAGTAGTAGATTAATACACTGCTTCGTTAAAATTGTATTTCCTTTATATGCTACTAAAAAAATTATCGCACAAAATCAGACATAAGTAACAATCGAATGACCACCCAGTCCTTTCAGCCATTGGTACGCAAGTCCTTGAAGTTAAACTAATACAGCGACACAAACCTTTATGTTCAAGAGCTCTGTTGAATGTTGCTGGATATCTGTCGGTAGGCTGTTACTATCAGCTAGATTGCTCTTATATAGTGGGTCAGGTATGATACTGCACCTTGAAGATATTCCAGGTGAAGAAGATATTTAGGTTACATTAATCGCATTTAATTAGATTATTTTGACAGTTACAAGGGTATACAACTAACAAAATACTCCAAGAGATAAAATTAGTTATTGCTTATCTAAGGTTGCTTGTCCTGTAAACATCGAAATATTAATTCGTTAGTCAGGGTCATTTGACAATATCCGAAAACAAGTTCACGGAGTTCTCTTTGTTCTAATTTAAACTAACGGAAAAACTGAATACATGCTGTATTGTTAATGAACTTTGAGTTGGCGAAATGTCAACCATAAGGTACAAATCGTAAGAAAGCTTTCGTGGAAAATTGTCTTACTTGTGAATGGAGTCTTTGTTTAAAGTTATTACTACGACTAACTTTTAACGTATTTTTGTTCTTAAGTCATTCATACGACCAATTTCTAATGTGCTTTGACTCTTCAGCCATTCATAAAACCGACTTCTAACGTACCTTGTTTTTAAGCCATTAATAGGACCAACGTTTCTAACCTACCTTTACTCTTGAGTGGCCGAGTGGTCTAAAGCGCTGTTCGTTACGGATGACTGCCATCTCACCTCTGTCTGCGTGTGTTCGAGTCTAGGATTCGGCGAATGTGGATATGTGAGAAAGCTTGCAAGTAGCTTCTCGTGGGTCGGTGGTTCTTTCCGGTGATTTCCCGGTTTCTTCCTCCACCACTAATACTGGCCGCCATGAATAGCCAGCCTATCGTGTGCTGAAAAATGGCGTTAAGCCTAACAACAACAACTCTTGAGTCATTCATACAATCAACTTCTAATGTACCTTTGTTCTTAAGTCATTAATACTACCAGATTTTTAACGTGCTCTTAAGTCATTCATAAGACCAACTTCTAACTTACCTTAGCTTGAAGAACATTTTTTTTTTCTCTCAGATGGACCTAATTTAAAATCGATAGCAACGTTTCCATGTCCATTAACATTCCAACACTCATACGAATAATATTAGATGGAGAATCCACGAAAAGTCAATTCTTTAGTTGAATATATGAAAACAACCACCATATATATATATATATATATATATATATATATATATATATATATATATATATATATATATATATATATATATAATAATAATAATAATAATTTTCACTTGTATTTTATAGAAATAAATTATCGTTGATATGCATACATATCCACAGTTCTGATTTGTTCTTTATCTTGTATAAGTTTCAATTTCTCATAATTTACAGCCGTGGACATCGAGGGGTATTGATAAATCAGAAACAAAAGCAGCAGTAGCAGCAGCAGCAGCAACAACAACAGCAACAACAACAACAATAATAATAATAATAATAATAATAATAATAATAATAATAATAATAATAATAATAATAATAATAATAATAATAATAATAATAATAATAACAATAATTCTTTATATGCGTATAACAGATTCATGGGCTAAAAAAGTCTGAAATTTTCTATGTGATATTACAATTTATTGATATTTCTTTCTAAAGTTAGATGAATTTGGTTTCGTAGCCATCTGACTTGATTTCAACTCAAGTTACTCAGTTTTTAAATTTAAACTATCGTTGCAGGGGCTCAGAGTGGCCGAGTGTTCTAAAGCGCTGACTGTTACGGATCACTGCCGTCTCACCTCTGTCTGCGTGAGTTCGAGTCCAGACTCGGCTTACGTGGGTAAGTGAGAAAGCCTTTAGTAGCTTCTTGTGGGTCGGTGGTTCTTCCTGGGGTTTTCCAGGGTTCTTCCCCCACCATTAATACTGGCCGCCATGTAAAGCCTATCTTGTGCTGAAAATGGCGTTAACCCCTATAACAAGAACAAACTGTCGTTGCCATGCAAATACATGAATTCAGACTATAAAGCATATCACCATTTTTGTAAATTTCGGAAACAGGTAAAAGAAAATTTATTGATCAGTAACATTTATTAGACCCATATATTGTGCTGAAACATGTAACTTTAAAAGCAGGTCTTAAGTTGAAACATTTGCAGTTTTTAATTCGTGTGATGTATTTACTGCTATAGAAAGAGTTTATCTACAGGTCGAGCACCTAGATGACTTATCGTGATATACGTGGCAAGAAAATATGAATAGAATTGTTATGTTAACTAGGGTCTTTAGCTCCATGCAGGACACTAACATACTAAACTGATTTTCCCTTGTAGAATTTAATACCATAAAGGTGCTCCTAAGATAAAATGGCTTTGAGAAAGAAGTTTTGTTTTGGTAGATCGATTCTTGGGATGGCTCACAGATGGTTACATGATATGGTGATGCTGCCTGCGGCCCCCCTCCCCAATCACTTGCACACACCCACACTCGCACCATCCCTGGGAAAGTGGGAATGGTTCGATGTCATTGATGTCTGGGATTGATGCCAAGGTCCATAAAGTGCACATATCAATCTCATGAAAGGAACGATAACCGGAGTGTTGTCTTTGGTTTATGCATTGTCAGTTTAAGTGAACAAATTTAATCACATGTTTGGCTTCATTTAAATCATTGACCTCAATAACTCTGCATTTCAAGAATCAGAAATTGTGAATTCTGATAAGAATTACTGTTGTCAGGGGAAATTTGCCACTATTTTCGAGTTTTAAAAATATGCATTGCCAATGAAATTATTCACCAAGGAAATGCAGAAAACCTAATTTGCTGATATGGTAAGGTTCACACAAGTTAAATGTATATCTATTTTCTGTCTTTGCTTTGCTTGGAGTGGCCTCATTGGATAGTGCATTACAAAAAATAAAAAGATAAAGAAAAAGATTTAAGTGATAATGACTTTTTTGTCAAATCGATCCAATTGTGTTTAGTGGTTAGAGCGTCTGTCTCGGATGCGGGAGGTCGCAGGTTCGAAACCCGGACTGACTCAAACCAAAGACTTTAAAAAGTGGTAAAAACAGCTGCCCCGCTTGGCGTTCAGCAATATGAGGTTAGTGTTAGCACTGGTCTGCCTGGTGTCAGGATAATGTGACTGGGCGGGTCATCATGCTACGTGTCTGCGGCATGATGATGCCCTAGTGCTAGACATCACTATAAACTGTCACACTGCATACAATGTAGAGATATGACTGAAATTTGTTTCTAAAGCTTCGTTAAAAATCTAAATCACACACACAATAGTGTTTCATGTTTTTTCTTTTCATTTTTTAAAAGAAGTCGCTTAAAATGTGTTAGAACTTTAGTAATGCAGACCATGTTATATGTCGAAACATCTTTATGTTTGCATAACTTAATTGCAAGCAGAAAAAAACTAGATTCGAATCATGTAAAGACCATACTGAGTTAGAAATCACGATGCGTCTCTGGACAACAGACAGTAGTCTAGTTACCCTAGAATGAATATAATCTCTCCTGTATTGAGGTTTATTTTAAGCTAACAAAAGCAAACAAAAATACACGTAAAAAGAACAGAATGTGTGCTTATATCTCTGCACTTTTTCGATGAATGAGAAGTGAAGTTAGAAAAGAGCATTATGCTATTAATCCAGGTGAAAGTCGACACAAACATACGAACATTGTCATGCATAAAACAGTTTCACTTAGTATGTATTAAAGTGGTATAATGCATTTGCGTCCATATTATGTGTTAAACAGTTACGATGTCCTCTGTATGTGTTAAACAGGAACAATGCATTCGAGTCATCATTAGGTGTCAAACAGATATATTGCATTCGGGCCCTCAAAATATACTAAATTGATACAACGTATTTCACTCATACAATTAAATTTATAGCTATTTACAAAGGTACCATTCGCTGCCCACGGCCATGTATATATTGTTTGAAATTTTTTGTCTTTTCCCATTTCTATTTGTTTTCCAATATCATCTGCGTCAAGAGCGCTGAATGTGTTTGATATTACTTTAGGTTAGGTTTGCAAGGTGTAATTTAAACTTCTGATCCAAATGATGGAATAACATCCAATTCCGCCTCCAGAACAATTTGTTCATACGAATATCATTTTGTAATGTTAGGTCCTGTGTCCGTGTGCACAATCCGTTAACATCAGTTGTTTCAACCTCTTCCCTTAAAGGTAAAAATAGCAACACTGACAAGGGACTTTTTGGCAATAAGGGTATAGTACGCTGTTTGTCCCTGACACTATTTTATAGCGGCATACATCGCGTGTTTGCAACTATTGCATTTTCCAATTGCTATACTAAAAGTTGACAGATATTTCTCACTTGATGTCCAAATGCTCATGTCTTTATGTAGTCACATTTTTGATGCGTTTCTCAAAACTAATAGATATACCTTTTTGTGCTGTTATTTGTATACTGTGTATCCGACTTATTTTGCTTACAACTATTCCTAGCCTAGGTTTCAGTCCGGTAAATTTTCTAATAGTTTAGATAATCCTGGTCATATTCATACATGCATACACGCATACATGCACACTGTTACGTGTAGGCTCATACAAACGTAACAAACAAAAATAGTAAAGTCAACAAGCTTTATAAATTTTAACAAAAATAATATATTTCCCTAGAAAACAATGTAAAAATAGAATGTAGGACTTAACGATTTGAGAAAATAATAAAAAAAATATAATCGTAGGATTGAAAAATAAGTCATATTACTAAATAGTTCTAATTGAATCTGGGTTCGAATCTCGATGAAGTTCTAAAATGGAGGCGATGACGTCAGATGATGTCTGTCCTGATGGTATCAAATCCTCAATTAAATAACAGGTTATGTTTCCTTATAAAATTCCAGAATAAATTTCCACTGAATGAATTTGTCCAAGACTTTAATGAAGAAGTTCTTATTTTCCAGAGATTATAAATTATTCTTAAATAACAAATAACTCAAAATATAGCAACAATAAAATACCTCTGAGCTCCTAAAGGTAGTTTTTTTTTACGACTGTTTAAGCCTGATTTTAGATCACATGGTATTTCATGTGAGAGGCTACTTAATTTCCAGGTTGAAGGTCTCAATAAAAATTGCCATTTATCACGTAGCTTAGAATAGTCCTGTATAAAACATCAGATTCTAGCTAGGAATTAATAACATGTCGGATGAAAAATGACATTGGAAATAGCCAATCGATATCACTTGATGTTTACAAGCTCCATGAAACAGAGTGAGCTAAAATAATTCTAATGTAACACCTTTGCGTTCTATAAAAAAAGAATTTACTGGAAAAAATATAGAATCCCGTGAAAATACATACATACATACATACATACATACATACATACATACATACATACATACATACATACATACATACATACATACATACATACAGACATACAGACATACATACATACCTACCTACCTACCTACCTACCTACCTACCTACCTACCTAGATACATACCTACATACCTACATACACACATACATACATACATACATACATACATACATACATACATACATACATACATACATACATACATACATACATACATACATACATACATACACACATACACACATACATACATACATACATACATACATACATACATACATACATACATACATAGGTGTTTGCATGTGCGTGTTTGTGGTCTTGACTATTCTAATTACTGTAAGTCAATGACTGAGATATGCTTTGCAACACATTGTTGCACTTTAAAATTGTACGGCTTGTCCATAATATTGTAGCCTAACAATCCCTTAGCTCTACTGCCCTGAGTTTCGCTATCTTGAGTTCTTTATCATAGGTCTATAGTTTGAGTTGTACCACGCTGAATCTGCCTGATGAGTGGCACTCCAGAGTGTGACAGATTCTACCTCAGCGGGGTATCGTTTTATTCCTTGCTTCCTTGGGTGTCGCCGACGTGGTCACAGACTAGTAGCAGGATCGCCGACTTGTCGCAGAGTCGTTGACTGGATCGCAGACTTCTAGCCATCACCGTGTCGCTGGGTCGCAGCCTCAGTTGCAGAGTCGCGATATTATCCGCCAGAGATCGAGAGAGAGACACGACAGTGTAAAATGATGAAAGGAGAGCTATCCCCAGTCCAAAACGTTTATTGTCGCAAGACCTCTGCGTTTCTTGGACGAGCCTTGTAGCGCCGGGCTGCTGGTCGACGAAAGACCTTGTCCCCAACCTTTTAAGATTTTATGGCCTGGCTCTCTCCTACCCAGGGAATACATCCAAGTGTGCTTGCTCTGGCGTGGTGGTTATACTGTTACACTGCAGTGGACGTCTTTACTCTACGCCATTTTCTAACACACCACCCTGGCATCCATAGCTGGTCAGTATATATATATATATATATATATATATATATATATATATATATATATATATATATATATATATATATATATATATATATATATATATATATCTATATATCTATATATATATATATATATATATATATATATATATATATATATATATATATATATATATATATATATATATACCCAAGCGGAATCACGTGACCCAAAACTAAGACGATAGATGGCACTACGATTCAGTCTTCCGAGATTTCTGAGCCTTGTCGAATTCTTTGATACCACAAGACGTCTGTATCACTGCCACTGGCATATCAGTCTCAGTACTCCAATCCTTGTTTGTTGCTGGATTGTCGCTGCTTACTTTCGTCTCTTTCTTTTCGGTTTGTGTCTCTACTTGAAAACCGCATTGCCTACATGAGCCTCTGTACAAGGCGTCAGCGTTGCGATGCAGTCTTCCGGGACGATGTTGAATCTCAAACTGATACTGCGGCAGGACATCAATCAATCTTACGAGTTGCCCTTCCAGATTCTTGAAATGCAATAATCACTTCAGAGAGCTGTTTTCAATGTTCTAACTAAGAAACGTCGTCCATACATGTAATGCTTGAAATATTTCACATAAAATACGACAGTCAACAACTATTTTCTCGTCACACAATATCTTCTCTCAGCTTTCGTCAGCGAGAGTCCGACGTACGCTGCAACTCTCTCGCATCCGTTGTGAAATTGCGGTAGGACAACTCCAATTCCAATTGCGTCTGTGGCAAGAATAAAAGGTTTTCCCGGGTCTGGGAAAGCTAATACAGGGCTAGTGGTTAATCGCGCCTTCATCTCATCGAATGACGTCTGGCAACTCTCCGTCCAGACAAAATGTCTCCCTTTTTGGGTCAGTCGGTGTAAGCTAGCTGCGATATAGGCAAATCCCTTTATGAATCGTCTGTAGTATGAACATAGTCCTAAGAAGCTGCTAAGTTCTGTCTTCGACGTTGGATTTCTCCAGTCGACAATAGCGAACACTTTCTCTGGATCTGTACTTATCCCCTCCTTGGACACAATATGACCCAGGTACTTGACTTATTTTGCGAACAATCGACATTAATTGGGCTTGAGTTTCAGACCAGATTTCAGCAATCTGTCAAAAGCCTGACGCAGACGATACAATTCCTCCTAAAATGTGCGACCAAAGATGATTATGTCGTTGAGATGCACCAAACATATCTCCCACTGCAGTCCCGCTAGAACTGTCTCCATCAGTCTCTCAAAGGTACCGGGTGCATTACAGAGTCGGAACGGCATGACATTGAACTCGTATAAACCTCGCCTAGTCGTAAATGCTGTCTTCGACAGATTTTCTGGCTCTATTTCTACCTGACAATATCCGTTCATGAGGTCTAAAGTCGAGAACCAAGTTACTCCCGATAATGAGTCAAGCGACTCATCTATCCGCGGTATAGGGTATGCGTCATTAACAGTCACTTCGTTCAATGCAGGGTAGTCGACGCAGAACCTCGTTGTGCCATCCTTTTTATTTACTTAAACCACTGGTGACGACCATGGACCGGAAGACGGCGAAATTCTCCCTTTCGTCAACATGACGTTCACATGCTTCTCAATTTCTTCTCTGGCGTGAATCGGAATTCTTCTCGGGGGTAGTTTTATTGGTATCG